GATAGATAGATAGATAGATAGATAGATAGATAGATAGATAGATAGATTTAAAAATGTGCTAATGAACAATTTGGATTTTAGCTAAGTGTTGTTTTTTTTAATGCATGTCTTGAAAATCAAAAGCAAGACTTTACTTGTTATTCTAGTTTCATTTGTTGGCATAATGTGAAGGGTTATATATTGTAAGTGGGAAATATATTACCAGTACAACAGATGTAGGAACCCAAGGTAAACCATTGCCTAGGGGTCAAGGTCAAGGTTTCTTTATTGTCATTTGCATCACATGCGGTACATGTGGTGGAACGAAATTGTGTACACAGGTTCCCAGTTACATCCAACAAAAGTATAAATTGTAAAGAAAAACAGTAATAAGATCTAAGATATGAACTAAGAAACACGCTAAGCTAAGAATATGCTAAGCACTAATAGAACAAAAACAATACGCTGAACAACAGCAGTACAAACAGTGTTTTTTTTTTCACAGTGACAATCCTGATTAGAGATTCATGAGTCCAACAGACTCAGGGTAGAAGCTGTTCCTCAGTCTAGTGGTTCTACACTTTATGCCCTTCAACCTCCTTCCTGAGGGGAGCGGGGCAAAAAGTGAGTGTGCTGGGTGAGTGTGGTCCTTCATGATGCAGGTGGACCTTTTCCTGCATCTAGAGGTGTACATGTCTGTGATGGTGGGGAGACTGACTCCAACAGACTTCTGTGCAGCCTTCACCACTCTCTGCAAAGCTTTTCTTTCTGCAGCTGTGCAGCCTCCATGCCACATGTTGATGCTGGAGCACAGGATGCTCTCCACTGCACACCTGTAGAAGGAAGTGAGGACTGAGCTTCCCAGACCAGCTCGCCTCAGCCGCCTGAGGAAGTAGAGTCTCTGATGAGCTTTCTTGATCAGGCTGGTGGTGTTGTTGCCTCCAGCTGAGGTTGTCATTCAGGTGTACACCCAAGTACTTGTAGCTGGAGACCACTTCCACCGCAAATCCTCCTATATTTCCTATATTTGTGTATGTGTGTGTGTGTGTGTGTGTGTGTGTGGGGGGGGGGGGGGGGGTTGTTCCGTCTGACATCCACAACTATTTTCTTCATCTTCTTCACATTGATGTGAAGGTTGCTCCTCCTGCACCAGCTCTTCAGGTGTTCCACCTCCTGCCTGTAGCTAGACTCATAGGACTCATCATCACTTAGCACATGTGTTATATGAATATACACACAAACTTACACTGAAATGTTTCTTGAGTAGTTTTGAGACATACAATTCAATGTCACTTAAAGCGAACAAATGCTTATTGACGTTTAGTGTAAACTTTCCTCTAGTGCACCACCTCTCAACAGTGGCAAGACTGTGAAGATTCTAATCTAGTACATCTAAAACAGGGGTCTGCAACCTTTGCGATACAAAGAGCCATTTTTGCCACTTTACTTACCAATTATGATGTCCGGAGCCACAAAACCTGCTACAGCTGTGTTCTGTCAGCTGGTGGCCCGTGGACCACAAGTTTGTTGGAGATGGGCTTTCCGGCCTGTGGGGGTGATAATACAAAACGAAAAATGTCTTACTATTATTAACATTTATTGATATTTTTACATTTAAATACAAAAGAAAAGACCAGATTCATGTAAAGAAAGAAAAAAATGTATATATATTTTTTAAATAAAAATGAAAATACTTTACTCTGCAGGCCGGTGTGAGTTCTCTTAATTGTTGAAGAATTAAGTATCCTACTTAAAACATAAAGTTAAAAACAGTATAAAATTAGGTCAGTCTGTACATTTCTTGTGATGGACTTGCGACCCATCCAGGGCGTACCCCGCTTCTCGCACAGTGATTGCTGGACATGGGCACCAGCGATCCCCATGACCCAAAATGAAAGAAGAGGATAAAAAATAATGGATGGATGGATCTTATCAAAGTTACTCAACATAATCTTTCTTAGAAGCTTGTCATAATAAAAATAAAAATATTTTAAAACATGCTGGTGGTTTTGAGAGAAAGACCACGCTGTGAGACTGGAAGTTGACTTAAAGTGGCTAACAAACTACTTGCTTGATGTAGTCCATGCTTTTATGCCTTGTATTTGTGCTATTCGTCATATATTTGAAAATGACGGAAAATCTGTTAAAATTGGCCATTTTCATTATTGGCAATATTTAAAATAAAATTCAGTTTTATTTTAGTTTTGGTTAAAGCCTGAAAGAGCCGTTGTAGAGGGACCAAAGAGCCACATGTGGCTCCAGAGCCGCAGATTATAGACCCCCTGATCTAAAGACACTATTTTTATGGCAATTGTTCTGTTACCAAGAGGAACTTCAATGGACTAAAAACGGATAACAGTTTGCACGTTTGTTTGTGGCTCCTCGGATTGATGAAATCCTTTGGATGAAGGACGAAATGTCTGACTCTCAACAACAACAAAAAAGAAACTGTCCAGATGACCTGACTGAGCTTTGTTGGGTAATAAGATTTTTTCAAGGAAACTGGTGCAGAGAACTTAATTTTAGCTGTACACTTCTAAAAACTAACCTGGAGAATATTCTTTATCTTTATCAGAACATTACTCACTCTGACCTCAGTCACACTGTGTGTGTGTTTTATGTAAACTTTAACAACTAGTTAAGATCATCCCTTGGTTTTCTTAACAAGTTATAGATCAGTTGTTATTATGTATATATAAATTCATATGAAATAAATGCTAAGTGACCTTTATTGCAAATAGTTTAAGACCTGTTTACAAATTGTTCTTGTATATTTTTATTATCCAGTTATTATGTGACTGAGTGTATAAGCCAAATATCTAGGGAACATGTTGTCCACGCTGCAATGCGTCTCAATCAGCCTGGAAAGATTTTATTTTACATTAAAACAAAATTAATTTATAGCATATAAAACAATGAATTAAATTATATATGATATCAACAAAAAGACACCAAAATAAAAATTTAAAGACATGGAGGTCTGACGCTTATTTATGACGTCATATCCGCCCGCTGCTCGTCGTGCTTCCTGCCTTGCTGAAGGAGGGACGGCGCTGACGACTGGGAGGACGAAAGGAGAGCCAAGAAAGCTTTCAGAAAGCTATAAAAGAGTGGGGAACGGCCCTGGTTTCCACCGTCCGTCGGGAAATAAGCACCCCAGTTTTCCGTAGCTGCTGAAGTTGTCACCGAATCGGCCCCGAAAATGTCGACCAGTCGTCAGCTTAGCGAGAGCAGGGCCATCCCGACCTGCAGGACGGTGTTGATCAACGATACAACGCAGCTACCTCATGACTACTGTACCACCCCCGGAGGCACTTTATTCTCCACCACTCCTGGAGGTGAGAGCACATTTCCTGTGCAAATTCTCGACAGATTACTTTTTTGTGGCATTTGTTCTCTTTGCAAACTATTAAGTTTGGCCTAGGCTGCCTAGTCATCCTGATCAAAACAAAAACAAAGATTAGCCCCGCCTCCGTGCTTTCTAGCTGCTGATTGGCTGATTTGCAGCCCAGAAAGTGTTTTAGTTGTACTGTCTTGTTAAAGTATTTACACTGATTGAGCATGTGTATTTTTTTCACTCGTTTTATTTAATAGATAATATTGTGCAGCTGCCATTTATTGACTTGAACTTGATTTATCATCTAGTTGGAACACAGCCAGATGAATGATTCATTACACGATACTTGCCAAAGGAGAGCAACAAGCTCAAAATAGGTATTGCCACACAATGCTGCAAGACCACATAGAAGCTTTATCTCTGCATAAGAGTTAAAGCAGTGATTTTGCATATTTTGTCATTTACTTATTAAATTATTTTAAAACATGAGGACGATCAGAATATCCATCACAGATTCCCACTGGACAGTGTCACATGCCTGAATGTTTAGTTTAATGACAAACATAACTGAACGCAAAAAAATATGACTGTTGCATTGCTAATATAACTGTCACTGAGCTACCATAAATGTTTTCTGTGTTTATCTGTCATGACACGTCATTGTGTACTGAGCAGGAAAAAAATATATTCAAGAAAGATAAAAAAAAATAAACAAGAATTATTTGTTGTCAACAAGATTTAGATTTACTGTTTATTCTAAGAACCCATTTAATGACTGACTGCATATTTGTGGCTACATATTTTTTGCTATTCTGGTTTCATCATCAAGCTTCTGCAAAAACTGAAGGGGGTAGAGTTGCATGTGTTCTTTGAAAGCATATCTGTGTATGTGGACAGGCTTTGGCTGCACCCACATAGTAACATAAGATTGATGTGTCTTATTTTTCAGGAACCCGGATCATTTATGACCGCAAGTTTTTATTGGACAGGCGTAATTCTCCCATTGCTCAGACTCCTCCGGCCCATCTGCCTGTCATCCCTGGAGTGACCAGCCAACGTGTCCTGAGTGAGAATCAGAAGAATGAAGCCAACAACCACGTCAACAACCATGATGGCAAGGCCACAACTGGTATGAGATACAAAACAGACATACCCAATTATGTATGTTATTGGGGGGAACAAAAACTTTATTTTTATGGTTATTAATGTTTATTATATATTCCCCTTTTTCACATTTAGGAGCTTGAAAGAAAAGGATAATGTATTTTTAAAACTAAAACATAATGCAACAATTTGCATTTAAATTTAAGGCTCTTATATGACTAAAACAATATCTATTATTTAAAACAATTAGGTTAATAAATTGTTAAAGGGTCTAGACTTAAAAAAGTCTGCAGGATCAGATGAACTTTCACCTTATTTCTTAAGGCTGACCGCTCATGTCATCACAGTCCCTGTGACCCACATCTTTAATCTTTCCATAAACCAAAACTCCATTCCAGATGCTTGGAAAACGGCCTTTGTTCTACCTTTGCTGAAGGGAGGTGACCCCACCTCACTGAACAACTATCGACCAATCTTTAAACTCTGTATTTTAGCCAAGGTTCTAGAAAAACTGATAAACTCTCAAATCAAAAATTACCTGGACTCATTTAACATCTTACCTCCACATCAATCTGGTTTCAGGAAACAACACAGCACAACAACTGCTTCACTGAAGGTTTTAATGACATTGTTGAAGCATTGGATGCTAAGGATTACTGTGCTGCATTTTTCTTAGAACAGTCTAAAGCGTTTGACACTGTAGACCATGACATCTTGTGTCATAAGCTCTTAGAAATGTGTTCAACATAATGGTACTTCCTCCAGTTATTTAACAGTCAACAATGGTGTGCCACAAGGCTCAGTCTTAGGACTCACCCCCTTTACAATCTAAAAACGGTAATGTAGGTCAGAGCATCCTTGACACATCTTTACCTTCCTATGCTGATGATACAGTTGTTTATTATCGAGCCAAAACAGTTGCTAAGGTTTTCCAGCTTTTGCAATCCGTTTTTGATATCATCCAGACAGATTTGTTCCGTCGCAAACTTGTCCTAAATACTGACAAAACCAAAGGGATGCTGTTTTCAAACAGGAAGTCGGTCCCAGCAGTTCTTCCTCTGATTTTATCCTCGAATGGTGCTCCTATTGATTTTGTCTATTCCTACAAATATTTGGTATCTTGGTCAATTCGCATCTCTCGTTTAAGCTTCACGTGGAAAAAATGGTAAAGAAACAAAGTTAAACTGGGTTTCTTTTTCAGAAACAGATCCTGTCTATCTCTGAATGCTAGGAAACGCCTTGTAACTGCGACTTTCCTTCCCTCCATTGATTACGGTGACGTTATTTACATGAACGCTCCTACAAGAACCCTGCAGATGTTGGATGCTGTCTATCATGGTGTGTTAAGATTCATAACTGGCTGTGATTATCATACCCACCACTGCACCCTGTATTCACTGGTTAACTGGTCATCATTAACCACACAGACTCTCTCACTGGTACATTTTCATCTTTAAATCTCTTTTTGGTCTGCTGCCTTCATACATCTCCTCCTACATGTCTCTGCGTGAGTGCAGCTACAGCGTGCGCTCTCAGGACATTATTACCTGCAGTGTTCCCTCAGTGAGGACTGAACTTGGCAAAAGGGTCTTCTCCTACTCCGCTCTTCTATCCTGGAATAACTTGCAAAAAGATATGAAGCTCTCAACGTTGACCTCTCTAAGTGGCATCAAACATCTGTTAAATTCCTGGAAAAAACAAATGCAGACATGTTCCTGTTTTTAGTTTTCTACACCGCCTTCTAGCTGTTGTTTGTTGCATTTTTTTTAAATACCATTTTATTTTTACTTGTTGTTCTCAATGTGTACGCTTCTTTTATGACTGTCTATTGTTGTCTTTGTTGTCCACTGTTGTCATCACTCTGTTAAAATCAGGTCTCTTGTAAATGAGTCCCCGTGGCTCAATGGAATTAACCTGTATAAATAAAGGTTGAATGAATGGAAAAAAATGTAACAAACCTGCAGCAATTAAAGCCCCACCTGCTACTTTTATCTCCACATTTCATCCGTGGGGGACAAAAACTGGACTCAAACAAACAGAGAAGTTAAAGTTTACATCCACTATGCACTGTTGAGTCAAACAGAGCTGACGACACAATGCAAACCAAAGTGTTGTAAGAGACAGACTTTTTTTATGTTTCTGATTTGGTCAATTGCTGAAATGACTTACAAACAAAATTCTACATTCTCTTTGTCTAATCTGATGTCAGCATCAAAGACATGTAACACATTTCAGTGTAAGAAGACAGTTTTAAAAATGCTATGTGCGTCAGAACAATATTAACAAGTTTACAACAACATAAAATTGCTATGAAATTCCAGATTTGATTGTTTGTTGTATATTAAGAGAAAACTAGTAAAAAATTCTGTATACAGGAGACGTGGCTGAACTTTCCACCAACCTGCAAAAACAATAAAAACAGGCACACAGCTGTCTTTAAAATGCCTCAGTAAAACAACTGTGAATAATACAACCCTGCAGGATGAATCCAAAAACAAACTAGATCCTGTAACAGAGGAAGGGGGTAGAGTTGCATGTGTTCTTTGAAAGCATATCTCTATGTGCAAACTGCTCCGTGTCTAGGCTCATGCAAAATAGATTGTGATGTGGAAAATAGTTATGTAGCTCAGTCGTTTCATCAAGCCGATAACTGGAAAACAGTTTGCTGTTGAAAGTACAGCTTTTGCTCAAGTTTGGTTGAATTAAACCAATTTTTCTTCTTCTTCTTTCAAGGTGAAGATGCTCAGTTTGAAATGGACATCTAACCCACTGGAACCACACCAGCATAAGAAAGTGACCTGGCATCGTGCATGCCAGTGGCTTGGCTTGTAGAAAACTATGTTGTGAGCCCTCATGGCAGCCATCTTCTTTAGCTCTTTGTCTCTCTGCTGGATGTAATATGTGTAAACCATGAGGATTCAATTCATCATACGTGCACATACAAAATAGACAACTCTCAAAATCTGGTATATTTAAGTCCATTTTAATTTTTACAGTACAAATTAACAATCACCCAATACAGGAGTGGGCCTGAAGAATCTCTACTCAGAAACATTAGTCCATTTCAGAGCTCATCTACAATTTTTTATGAGTCAAGATGTTAACCGAGCACTCTGAAATTTTGAAACTATTCCAGGTTAAATGGGGGGAGAAAGTGGTAAATTTGGGTACTGGCCTTAGAGTTATTTAAAAGCTGCAGGCTTCAGGTTTAAAAAAAAAAAAAAAAACCCTTTTAAGCATGTTATTTAAGTGAATTTTATTAGAATTTTCTGTTTAGTTTTTGAAACTACTTGAAATGCTCCACAATCTGTTATCATTTGGACTGCTTAGGTTCTAGTGATGATACGTAACAGAATGCTGTGCTGTATTTATTTTCCCCAGTAGGCAAAGATTTTGTACCATTCCACAATTTTAGTTTCCATTACCAACACAATTTTTGTTGTCGTTTTCACCTTTTTGGTTGGAAAAAAAAAAACACATTTTTAAATGATATTTAGGCTACAATTGTTAAGTTTTGACATCATTAAATGATTGAATGTAAAGTGAAATAATAATATAGCTCATGAAATTAAGCTTTTCTTGTACAACTTGATTTCCTCTGGAGATTATCAAGCAGAAATGACAACACTTTGGTTCAAGTTTTATCTTTGACGGGAGCTTTGTAATCAGGATTCAGTTAATATAAGGACGAGACGAAATCTGCCAGGTATTCTTCAAGAACGTTGTAGAACAACATGTCCCAGTATTCACTTTACAAGAAGATAATAAAAACTTGAACTAAGTTCAGATTTTTTTAATATGCATTTTATTTTCAATACCGTTTTTTAGTATTGAGGGTTTGTTGGGGTGTAAGCTCTGTCAGGACGGTGGGTTTGTTATATAGGTTAAGGAAAAATAAAACTTGTTATTTTGCATTGGGCTTGAAACAAGCTGTCCTTTCAATCTACAAATTTGCCCCAGTGCCCTTAATCTGTTTGGCATTTACCTTTTCATACGTTCCACCCGCCCATGCCTTACTCTACATGAGATGCAGTGACTAGTTTCCTTGTCATTAGTTTGTACTTTCCAACAGATGTTTATTTTTTCACAGGAGCACTTGAAGAGGTGATATTGTACTCAGCGATTGAGCAAAACATTTGATCGTTTCGATAAGTTTCTTCCTCAAACAGCTGTGAAGTTTGGAAGAACGATGGTCTACGTGACATTGTGGGATTTTGAGGTTCAGATTGTAATACAGTAAAAGTGCCACTCACTCATTTTACCCCTATATACTTTTAAAACCTCAGTCCTGCCTGCTAATCCAAGTTGCAGCTAATAACTTGGTAAATGAGTTACCATGCGGTTCATGTTTTTCAATTTTTTTCTCTATGATTGGAACCACTAAATGATAATTGTCTTTCTTTTTCTTATTGGCTTTGTAATTATTTATGACAAAGTTTGCTGAGAAATTCATCAACAGGTTGCTGAAATTGTTTGCTTTGGACCTTTGTTTAGCACCTTTGTTGCCAATAAGTCATTCTGTTGTGGTATCATAATTCAAATGGCAGATTTATTTCAGATTTGATTGGTTCAAAAATGAGGCCTTAGTGAATGAGTTTTTTTTTTTAATGAAACGCTTCTATAGCATTTTGTTCTAATTTCAAATAAATTTTATTTCCAATAAAACTCCAATCCAATGCCAGTGGACACTGTTGCTGCAAGATCAATAAAAATTCTGTAACAATTTGTGTCTTAACGACTTTTTATTTTGCCGGTAGTTCACTTGTCTGCATGTCAGCAAGATTGTGTAATGATCAGATTTGACAAAACCTAGTGGAAAGGCAAAGTATGGTGAAATTAAATATTAAATTAATGTTTGTAAGAGTAACCATGACAAATATGTTGTAAATTATTGAGAATAAAGCTTGGCTAGACTAATGTAACTTGTTATGGACACAGAAAAAATAGTTTAAAGAATTGACATTGGTAAGCAATCAATGTCATCACTGACAAGAAAGGCTATCAAAAATCCAGTTTTGTACAAATTTTAACCCCTTGCAAGCACACAAGAAAACAGAAATGTAGCTATAAACAATGTGTGCGTTTATACATGTTCTAGTAATCTGCGTTTGAAAACAATATATTTATTTTTGTTTATAATAGTGTAGGAACTATGAGGGAATAAAACTACCGGTAATTTTTGTATTTAATATTTTACGTCAGGCAATACTAAGAGGTTCCCACGTGAATTTCCGACAGGCATTAATCCGGTCACCTTTAGGCCCTTCCTCCTTTTTACGTCCCTGAGCGAGGCCGGCGTCAAGATGGTGAGTCTTGTGGTGAAAATTTTAAATAAAATCAGCTCAACATCGAAGTCATCCGTACATCAACACATACGTCCCGCAGATTAAATGATATTTAAAGTTTCCATTTATAATATCGTGATAATATCACTAAAGTACAAAGCACTCCGAGGAAATATTTTGCTGATCGTTTCAGCAGTTAGCCTAGCTGATGTTGTTCCGCTGGTTACACTATAAGACATACTATTACGAGTTTATTTAATTTGTCTTCTGTTCGTTAACTTCCATAGTAAAATGTATATAACCGACCAGGTTGTTCCAGTACAGAGTTGTAAAGAAAATTGTTATGGTAGCCTGAACTGGCTAACGCTAGCCTGCGCTGCTCAACTGTGTATAACGAGGCCTAGAGCAATCTGGATGAGTAATAATTTTCAGAATTGTTCAAATAAATAGATCTGTACAGAAACATGCATGGCTAGTTGAGAAAATATATTTGCACTTTACAGAATTCCCGCAAGGATCCTCCATACCAGTCTGTGTTGTTACCTCAGTTTTACATGTGAAGTGTCCCTGTTGCCTAGTGGTGCTTTTATCTCATCACCTTCCCTCATTCACAGAACGACACAGTAACAATCAGGACCCGCAAGTTCATGACGAACCGACTGCTTCAGAGGAAGCAAATGGTAAAGCATCTTGTGTTTGGTCTCCATCATTCAGTCCATCTGTCGAGCAAGCTTTTTATTCTGTGCTTAATGTCTTTGTAGGTTGTTGATGTCCTCCACCCTGGCAAGGCCACAGTCCCCAAAACAGAAATCAGGGAGAAGCTTGCCAAAATGTACAAGACCACCCCTGATGTTGTGTTCGTCTTTGGCTTCAGAACTCAGTTTGGTGGTGGCAAGACAACAGGCTTTGCTATGGTCTACGATTCGTTAGACTATGCCAAGAAGAATGAGCCCAAACACAGACTTGCTAGGGTGAGTGTGCAACAGTTTGCCTGAATAAGTTTGTTTACAAAGGTAAATGTGATGTTTGGTAATAAGCCACATGTTAATAACCAAAGGAAGATCATTGACTGATGCAGAGAATCACTAAAATGAGGTCATTCATTTTCTTTTGAAAATGATACAATGTGTCTGTCACGTATTTAGTGTAGTCAGCTCCATCGTTATTTATTACGTTTAAGAAGAGTTTAAGTAAGAATTTGATGAATCCCACACACTCTTTTAGCTTCAACATGTAATCTCAATCAGAGCGTTTACCTTACTTTCATTTATTTGGACTATGCGACCCCATAACATTAGTTAACAATATAAATAATTATTAATTTGTGCTCATTTTTGCATCCCTGTTTTGAGCTTAAGAAAAATTAGCTACAATTTGGAATATCTTTTTGTTGATCCAGCAATCAAATTTGGATGTGATTTTCACATCTGTTGCACAAGTATACACAATGTCCTAGGTAAAACATGTTAATACTACCGATATGTGGACATGCACAATTTACTAAACTATCAAAAGTTAATAAAATATTCCAAATGGAAAAACCAATTAATTGCCAGTATTTGCCACTTTTTATATGTCGTCAAAATATATTGGGGTATGTATAGTCTCTGTCCATCCACCTGTCCATAAGTTTTCTCTTGTTCTGCCCATAACTTCAGATCCACTCAAGATAATTTTATTAAGCATCATGCACATAAGCATCATCACAAGATGTAGTGTGCACATTTTATCATCCCTGCTCCAAGGTCAGCTGTTATACAAGGTCTTTTCTTTTCCAGGCCATAACTTATGAACTGCTCAAGATAATTCAACACTTGATGCACATTTGTACCACCACTAGACAGCGTGTCACTCTGAGGTCAAACAGTGTTTCCCCTACCATTATAGAAGGAGGGTGCCCTGCACTGTCAACAGAACCGTGCGCCTGCCTACCGAAATCTCCTTCAAACTCTCCATCGACATCTGCCAGCACTGATGTAGCACTAAGCTAGCGGTGCGCTACAGATGCGCTAACTAAGACGCTACTGTCGCAGCGCTCTGCTTCTCTCACTCATATAGTGTCGTGGTACTCTTGGCTAAAAGTTCTGCAGTCTGCTGTGCCTGTACATAATCAGTTACCAAGTAGGAAAAACTACTGCCAGCTTATTGTAGCTCACAATTCCTTTTTCTTTTTAAGCAAGAATGCTCAGTGTTACCTGTACCATTATCCAAGGAAGATGCCCTGCCCTGCCTTGCCTACTGACATACCCCTCGCCATCCACCCCCGGTCAACCACCACCGGCACTAGTAATGTAGCGCTCTGCTACACACCCACCCTCTACCGAAAAGTGCCCTGCCTACGCCAGTAATCTAGGGCAAACACTGATGCTACATTCATTTTTAAGTGTACAAGTACTTCAAAGGGCTGTTAAATCTACATTTGTTTAAATTAAACTATCATTACTATGTTCTGTTTAAGCACTGGCATAAAAACCTGGTCTGGCCATCAGCTGCCTTGATTTCTGAAGATCAGACCTAGAAGAACTCGTATTGGTCGACCTCTAATCGTAAAGCCCCACCAACACTTTTTGAAATGTTTCACCAGCTGATTAAAATACTGTTCTAAAATCTCTTAAAAGGGGTTAGTCAGAGTTGGTAAAGTTGTTTGTTTTAATTTTTTTTTTTTTTACTAATATTCATAAACTTGTACACATTTGGCAAACAACAAAGTTATAAACACTATTTCCAAAGAAATGCAGCCATTTTCTTAGGTGTTTTTTGGACAAAACAATGGGGAGTCACAATAAAATGCCATCAATCACTTGTGCCACTTGTAAAAACAGTTTCTCTCCAAATCAAGGCAAAGAGGCTCATCACATTCCCTTTTTGAATCATTTTCTATGTCCTGCTAGGATCAGTCAGGTGAATGTTGCACAATCTGGATCTGTCTCGTGTCATTATTTTGGCAGGAAGGGGCACAGACAAAATGTGGTTCTGTTTCCATTGGTTCTGGGTAATGGGCTGAGACACCAACATGTAAATCAAGAGGCCAAACTTACATTATCTTCATCCAGACTGGGCCTGAGCAAAAATGTTGTTTTGGACTGTCCTGAGAGGAAAAATGTGTCTATTTGGAGCTCTGGTGTTCTCTGTGACTGGAACCAGTTTACCTCTGGGTCAACATCCACATCCTCCTCTGTTCTCCAGAGCTCAGAATTGATGCTTGGTTCAGTTGGCCCAGTCAGAGGAGTCCTGGACCAGGTGGGCGTGCCCCACCCCTACGCAGATTCAGACTTCTGAGTGGTGCTCGGTGTACTCTCAGTGCCCCCTCTTTCCTCTTCTATAACAAATGAGTATTGCCCACTTCATCAACAAAGTCCTCACTGTCTGACTCAGTTTGTTCTCTCCATCTCTGCCTTCATGATCCTCTCCTGTGTCTGAGGTTCTGGCTCCGCGGTTTCATCTTCCTCACGTTTAGAAATTACCTCATTGTTTTGACTCAAACACACTTAAAACTGACTAAATTAGCACACTAAACAACACCCCAACTATAAGAGTCAAACAAGCTAAATATCACGTTTCATTACTCCTGACTTATGGCCTCCAACATGGAGGCGTGTTGTTTATCTGTTCGGCGGGAGTATTTTCTCCCTTAGACGGTTTATTTTTTCTGCTGCCTCTTGCGCTAACGCACTTTAAATGATTTTCAGAAAAAATGGCATCAATTATCAATCATAACTCTGGTTTTATTTGTCCTATCAACACAATTTAAAACTGGTGTGTACTAAGTTTGTACTATTGATACAAATTAAAACGGGGTCACGGAGAGGTCGCGCTTTTTCCACTAGATCGATTGAAATCGGTCATAAGACTTGTCACGCGCCAGCGCATCGATTGACTCCATCCAGTTAACGTGGTTTTATTGACCTTGTACATGAGCAAGTAGAAATTCTAGAGATTTCACTACGATGCCTAGTTTTTTGTTGTTTTGTTTAATGAAGTTTGTTTCATATTGTTTTTCTGTTTTATCCAAGTTGGACTCCAGTTGTAGAAGAATTTATTCATATCATGTTGCAGAGTCTGCATGACTGTAATATGGTTACACTTCATTTTTTTCTCTCCAGCACGGACTTTATGAGAAAAAGAAGACCTCAAGGAAACAGCGTAAAGAACGCAAGAACAGAATGAAGAAAGTACGAGGCATCAAGAAGGCCAGTGTTGGTGCCAGTGGCAAAAAGGTAAAGTGATTTTAAGAAACCCAAAACTGATCACATTTTTTTTATTTTTTTTTTTTATTATTATAATAAAAAAATGTTTGTGTAAATAAAACAGCATATAAATCTTTTAAAATCCGAACAAACAGTGAAGGTAGAAAATGCATCTGTCATTTTTTCTGGGTCTTTGTTGACTTTTCCTTGTTCGCACGTTCATTTGCTTCACTGTTTTCCACTGCTCTTTACCGTTTTGATTTCTTTTTGTCATCTTTACAACGTTCTCATTTTCCTTGGAAACTGTAGAAGGTAAATGTCAGAATGTGGGCTTATTGCGTTGTGCAGATAATCCAGGAGTTATAGATGATAGTGAACTCCTGCCTTTACACCCCTACCTGTCTAATTGAAAAGTCAAAGTGCTTTTTCTTCTGGATGTAATTGCATCCAGTATAAAAGTACTTAATCCAGTTCTTTCTCCTAGTACTAACGAGTCGTGCAGTAAACTAATTTAGTGCTATCATAGTTGGAGGAAATTCTCTTGACTAATGAAGCTATTTTAAAACTGGTACTATTTTAAAATTGGTACTAATCAGTAACATCTGCTGGTGTAGCTCTACTTTAAACTCCATGTACTCTGATACTACTGTGTGGCACGGGTCATTGGTTAATTCTTGTAGAATTGATCTCTGAACTGAACTGACCTTTTCTACTACATAGTAACTGTAATAGCTGCAGTGCAGGTAGTTGCTATCAATAAATATTTGATGAGATAAATGCAGCTTGTGAGAAGCTGCTCAGAAATATTTTCTATTCCATGTTTTCATATTCGACATGTTCATTTTTTGTTCCACCTTTCCGTTTGTAATTTTGCTTCCCGTGGATTTCTTTTGCAGAAATAAGGTGTCAGTTTTCAGGTAGAGAAGATGGATAAGCATGGTGTGCCATGTGTTGCACATCCTGAGCTAATTGTTTGGAGCTTTACTGCATGTTTCACGTTACTTTTTCCTGCGGTTTTCCCTCAGTGTGTTCTTTCTATCATGTTATTTTAAACTTCTGCCTAGTACTTTGCCACAACCCCAGTTCTTTGTAGCAGTCTCTCTACTGTGATGGGTATATCTGTCAGACTTTCCCTTCCCTGGCTTCTATTTGAACAGACCAGAGCTTTTGAAGCAAATCTTGTTAGAAGCTAAGAAGTTGAGTGAAGCATGTGGATTTTAGGTCTGGTGGTGTGTGTGTGTTTTTGTGGGATTGAGGAATAAACTAAATCATTGCCTATGTGTGAATTTTAATCTTAACTTGAGCTTGAACAAATGTTGGATCTATAATTTTGATTTTGAAAAAAACACTAAATGTCTTTCAAATTCTAACTTCAAACCAATCAAGTTGTTGATTTTAGTTGTTTTGTGTATTTCTTTGCCCTGATACTAAAATTGTTTTTCTCCTTGCAGTGAGCCTGGAGGACCAGCGTGTGTCTGCATACTCGAGATGTTCTTGTATATTGTCATCAAATAAAGTTTTGGGAAGAAATGGATCTTCGTGGATTTTCATTTAACCCTTCTGAAATGCAATTAATCTCTGATAGTCAAATATATCTTTTAGGGGTCTTTTACTGTGGGGAAAAATATGTTTTTTGTCTTTCGCTTATTTTAAACAGCATTTTTTAATAAATTTAAGCGTATTATACTTCAAATTACAATGCAGAAGTTTATTTGGTACTTGTAGTAGCAAGAATGTCCACATGAGGCCTCCCTTCACTGAAGAAAACCCTGTGGAGCCACTGAAGGTTTTAATAAAAATGTTGACTTGAGTAGAAATGGGCTAATTATTCTGAGACTGTTTATAAATAAATCAAACTCAGACAGTCCAGTCTACCTTTCCCTGTTTGTGAACAAACAACTGTTTGAAGCACAATAAAAAGTCCCTTCATGCAGTGACCTTTTCAGATAATTTTGCATTGAAATACCCCGGAGACTGTAAATGAAGTGAATGCCATGTAAAATGCCAGGAAATAGCCCTGTCCTCAGGGTAACCTCATTCCCTGCCTGTCTTCACATCTCGCCTGTTCTTATTTGATTTTAGTGCAAGAGCTGCAGAGGAGAACACAATACCTGACCTGCAATGAATTACTGGCAACAAGGAAAATAAAGTGCTGCTGTGAATGTGCAGGTTACCTACAATGAGCCTCGCGTGATTACAATAAATACCTGTAAGACATCGTTTTCTCAACATGGAAGCTGCACATGTTGCTTTGTTTTGTGTTGCAGTGTAGAGCAGGTGGTTCTGATGGTGCAGAGCTGAGCGTGTAGAGGAGCACAGATAAGGCTGTAGTGTGTTGTAGCTCTGCGGTGCTCCACTGGTGTGTCACTGTGGAGGCATCCCAGTGACTGGAAACAGATGGTGTTGGGAAATTAAGCCCCTTTCTCCACAACACTGTCGGTCCATCCCAGGAGTCTGTCTTTGTCTCTTGTAACAGCCCTTGTACCATCATCCCTCATTTTTTAAATGTTTCTCTTCTCAGCCTCTTTACAGTGTTGAAGGTATTTTCACACAGTGCCACTCTTTATATCAAGAAATAAAAGTCATGGGTTAGAACATCGGCACCTTTAAGCAACTGAGATGAAAGACGTCGCATTAATGTGAAGGTGCATGTCACCTGCTGCCTTTCATTCATTCAACCTTTATTTATAGACAGGTAAATCCCATTGAGCCTCGAGGACTCATTTACAAGAGAGACCTGATTTTAACACAGAATGGTGACAACAATAAACAATTATAAAAAGTCATACTGCAGGGTGGTTTTTTTTTTTTTTTTTTTTTTTTACAAATAGGATGGCTAAAAGGAAAAGGTAACAAAAACAGCTAGATTATAAGGCGAATGTAGAAAACTAAAAACAGGACCATGTCAGCATTGGTCCCTGCCAGGTGTCCAACAGATTCTTAAAGCCACTTAGAGGTCAAGGTCGAGAGCTTCAAATGTTTTTGTAAGATATTCCAGGAAACAGGAGCGGAGTAGGAGAAGGCCCATTTGCCTAGTTCAGTCCTCATTGAGGGAACACTGCAGGTAATAATGTCCTGAGAGCGCACGCTGTAGCTGCCAGAGTAGCAGACTAATACCTTGTTTTGATCAAATCTAATGGGTTATGAATGAGACTCGGCTACTACCACATCTAATTTTAACTCGGTGTCTATAAAGCTGACAGTTATATCCATTTTTGTGTTGGCTACTGTTGATATTCTGTAATCGTCATCTTTAGTCGTATTGACTCTAGTTGTAGGTGTGATCCTGAATTGTCATTCAACCTTTATTTAGACACGTTAATCCTATTGAGCCTCGGGGACTCATTTACAAGAGAGACCTGGTTTTAACAAGAGTGATGACAACGGTGGACAATCATAAACAAAGGCATACAAATTGAGAATAAGTGAAAATAAAATGGTATTAAAAAATGTGACAAAAAACAGCTAGATTGTAAAGCTGTGTAGAAAACTTAAAACAGGAACATGTCTGCATTGTTTTTCTCATGAACTTAGCAGATGTTTGAAGACACTTAGAGAGGTCAAGGTTGAGAGCTTCAGATCTTTTTGTAAGATATTCCAGGAAACAGGAGCTGAGTAGAAGAAGGCCCTTTTGCCAAGTTCAGTCCGTACTGAGGGAACACTGCAGGTAATAATGTCCTGAGAGCGCACGCTGTAGCTGCACTCACGCAAAGACGTGTAGGAGGAGATGTATGAAGGCAGCAGACCAAGAAGTAATTTAAAGATGAAAATGTACCAGTGGGAGAGTCGGCATGACGTTAATGATGACCAGTGAATACAGGGAGCAGTGGTGGGTACGATAGTTACAACCGGTTATGAATCTTAGTGCACCATGATAGACAGCTTCCAACATCTGCAGGGTTCTTGTAGGAACGTTCATGTAAATAATGTCACCGTAATCAATGGAGGGAAGGAAAGTCGCAGTTACAAGGCGTTTCCTAGCATTCGGGGTTAGACAGGATCTGTTTCTGAAAAAGAAACCCAGTTTAACTTCCAGTTTCTTTACTAGGTTTTCCACATGGAGCTTAAAAGAGAGATGCGAGTCGACCAAGATACACAAATATTTGTAGGAATCGACAAACTCAATAGGAACACCATACGAGGATAAAATCAAAAGAACTGCTGAGATCGACTTCCTGTTTGAAAAAAGCATCAACGTAAGATATTTTGCTAACAGACATACTGCTAGATGTCTCCAAATGGTAATAGCAAAATATCAAACAAAAACCTTGCACATTTTGTTAAGTCGTGCTCGAGCTGGCTCAACATTAGAACAATAAATGAAAACGGGCTGATTTACATGTGCACCCATTGCGTTTTCTAAGTTCGAGTAATTGAAAATCAGGTTGATTACAATCAGCAGTAGAAGAACATTCGAGGATTAACGTCTGCAAGTTGCATTAAAATTTGTGGTTCATATTTGAACGGCCAAAAACATTGTGCGTTTTCATCTTTTGCCAGACAAGTAAAACAAGCCTGAATTTAAAAACGAATCAATTTGTGAAAAAGTTGAGAATAAAAAAAAGAATGTACAGTATACTGATGGTGTTTAGAAAGCAATTAGCTTCAGAGCAACTGTAGGTTTGCACATCTGAATGAAACCTGAGGTGTGTGCCTTTGTAAAGGGTCTTCAGGGGCCCCTAAACATACCACATAAAACCAGATAAAGCAGAAAATCCACCTCTGCTTTCCTTCAGGGCAGAAAATGGCCTCGTAATGAGAATATTCTTCTGCCTGCTCGTACCACAAGGGTAATTTTGGGGGTTATGATAAATGCTTATGAGGAGCATGTTTTTGCCCTCACAACAGGTGTGGTTTTAACGAGCAGCCTCTCTCCATGCAGAGTTGTGGTGTTTGAAGGAAATGGACAGAAATCCTGACGACTTGCTGCGCTTTCACCAACACAATTCGAGAAGATGTTAAAAGCAACAATAAACGTCAAAAACAATGATCTCGTTGCTGTGTTTGCCATTTCACAGGATTAACTGCTGCATTCTCACATGCTTCTGTTCTCATGTCTCCTAGAGTTGGTGTGAATTGTTTTCCTGTTAGTTTTTTTTTGGCCTAACTTCTTCAACATATGTTTTTTCAGCTATTGTAGCCATTCAGCTATCTATACGTTCAGACCAGTGGCGATTTTAGCCTCTTTTTTGGGGGGGTGCTCAAGCACTACATACTACTGTTGTGCTGAGCTCTCCAAGTTGAATTGTGTTTACTAGGTACACATAGATGTTTAAAAACCCGTTAAAATACACCAGAATGCAGGAAATGGAATCTACTTTATTCAAAATTTTCTAGGGGAGGACCCCCAGACCCCCCAACCACTGTGTCCCCCCCAACATTATGAATGCTTCTGAAGCCACTGGCCACCATGTTGTTCAAGCTAAGAGCCACTGTATGCACTGGGGGCTAAGCAAACCCTAAAGGACATATGCTAGAATCGTCCCTGGTTCAGATGGTTAGGTGAAGCTTTTATTTTGAATTGTGTAACTTTATTTACATTTTTCTTTGTCGTATAATTAATTGAGCTCTCTTCCACTCCCGTAAAAACCTTCTCTGTGGAATCTTCAGCAAACGTTTTAATTAACTAATTAGAATTTTAGCTGCTGATCTTCTAGTTTTAGTTTTTAGCTACTTTTCTGATCACATTTAAATTTTAGCTATCGTTTCACTGATTTTAGCACTTTTCTAGCTACTGTTCTGACCCGTCAACTTTAACTTTTACTGTTTTTCTAGTTTGGGCTTTTAACGTTTGTTCTGCACACTTTTGTTTGTCTTAACAGTTTTTTTTGTTTTTTTTTAGATTTTGATTTTTAGCTCATGTTCTGATTAGTTTACCTTACAGCTGCTATATTTAGCTTTCAACTTGTTTTAGCCTTTAGCTACTGCTCTGCTGGTTTTAATTTTTACCCATAGTTATGATAAATTTAGCTTCCTGATGTTGTTTTGCTGGGTCGACTGATAGCTACTGTTTTGCTAGCTTACTTTTTAGCTACTATTTTTTTCTGATTCTGGCTTCTAACACTGTTTTGCTGGTTTTCACTTTGAGCTGTTTTTTTTCGTTTGTTTTATCTTTAAGTATTATTTTGCTAATTTCAGCTTTCATTTGCTGTTTTACTGGTTACTGTTCTGCTAGTTGCAGCTTTTAGTTTTTGTTTGGCTAACTTTAGCTTTTAGCTTTCATCTTGGTAATTTTAGCTTTTGTTCTGATTGTTTTTAATTCAACATTTCCGTGTCAGCCTGTTCAATAAATTTCAGTAAAGTCATGCAGCGCTTGGCCTTCACATTACATTTTCACAGAAAAGACCTACATGTTCATTGGACATATTTTGCCGTGGAGCGACTTGCTGCTGTAAAGTGCGGCCAGGCATTCGAGGATGTGCTGCATCTTAATGAGGTATGTCTCCCTTGTTGGCCTCAGCAGGGGAATCATCACAGCTCATTTTGCAGTCCTGCAGTGTCCTATCAGCTTTGGCAGCCTGCTCTAAGTTCACT